GATTACTAGAATAAATTACATTTGAAAATATATTCAAATAGAACACATTTATTTTAAATTGTAATAATATTTCATAATATTACTGATTTCACTGTATTTTTCCTTGCTTTCTTGAGTTTCCGGCAAGATGGCGCCTTTGTTTGGCCATGCCGCTGCCACTGTCCGTCTACTGCGTTACGTCCTAGCTGTCCTGTGTGTCGTTCTGTTTTTTTCTACTTCTAAATGATGGACTTGCTGCTCAGGTGTATGATCGCCAAACTCTTTTATACATAAGATCATCAGTGGTAGATCATAATGTTCCACCGCCTTGGGCTGATATTCCACAGTCATTATTGTCCGCATCAGTCCACTCAGCTGGTGATTCTGGCGGTGGTTTTCTGAGTGTCCTGGAAGTGAGGAGTCATCGGGAAATGGCGTTGATTGCTTCAGAGGAGTCTAGCCCCTGTGTTTTCGGCCTGTTTATGGAATGATTTCCCCTTGTCTACAGCTGGTAATGTCAGATTCTCCTGTCTCCATCTTGTTTTCCCAAATACTTTTGTGGAAACTGTTTATCCACCCGTGAGTGGAGTGGAGTTGGAGTGGCGGATTTAGTCTCCATCAACTTCGTACGTTTCCTCGCAAAATCCAAAAAAAATAAAAGTTCCAAAACGTTTCTCTTCCCCTCAGGATGGCAATGGTAAATGCTCATTCAATAACTAATAAAACTTTTGTGTTGAACGATATTGTTAAAACCAAGGAGCTGGACTTTTTGCTTTTGACTGAAACCATGGCAAAGAAATATGGAAAATGCTCCTCTCAAGGAAATTCGCCCTAAGGATTATACTGTTATTAGCCTGCCGAGAATCTCAGGCCGTGGTGGAGGACTCGCTGTGGTGTTTAGAAATAGTTTTTTTCTGCCGGATGGTTAATACTGGGTCTTTCTATTTCTTTGAATTGCAAATGATTGGTCATACAGATCCCTTTTATTGTATTTTAATTTATCGTCCACCTGGTCCTCATAGTTCCTTCTTAGATAATTTTAGTGATTTCTTATTATCACCTATTCTTAAGCTCTCTAGAATTGTGATTGTTGGTGATTTCAAAATTCATATTGATGATGTTTTTGATAAATTTGCAACTGACTTTATGAATATAGTCATTTAATCTTACTCAACATGTTACTGGTAACAATTCTGTGTTTTCTGTCAATATGGGGGGCTGTGTGTACATTAATGAGGAAAAAAAATTAACTTAAATGATTTTAGCAAATGGCTGCAATATAACAAAGAGTGAAAAATTTAAGGGGGTCTGAATATTTTCCGTACCCACTGTACATGCAAAGTGTTCCATAAAATTCATTCTTTATGCCTTTCTATGCTGAGTTAAACTTTAACCCTTTCCTATACCAACTGTATGTGTGTGTGTGTGTGTGTGTGTATGTGTATGTTGGACCAGCTTAATGTGTTTATGTAGTATGTTAGACTAGTTTAAGTGTTTATGTAGTTAATAAAACCTTACTTGTATCACACTTGACGTGTTCATTGTTTGCTCATAACCGGAGTCACTAATCATGCAGATTTACGTTACAAGCTTGTAGAATTGTACAGTAAGAAAGTTATTTCCCTTAACCAGGAAATTAACGTTCTTGGAATTGACAAGACAGTTGACCCTGAGAGGTCAGCTAAATATCTACAGCGGATCTAAAATATGAATAGTTAATTATAACTAGTTATGGTTAATTATTCATATTTCCCCATGAGCTGATTCGCTACACACTCATATAAAAGGGCATAATTTAGATCTTGTTTTTAGTTTTGGTTTAAATATTGGTTCTGTTCTGTCTGAGGATTTTTTTATTTCAGATCATAATTGTATTTTATTTGACTTATTTTCAGTTTAGATTCATCACCATGTAGTTGGGTAATTAATTATCGCATCTTAAATAACCTTTCTGAAGAAAAATGTTGTGCTGCTTTTGAAAATTCCTCTATAATTATGTCAAACAGTAGTGTTGATGTTCAAGTACAACTTTCTAATGAGTACTGCCTTCCGATCTTGGATGAAGTTGCTCAAATTAAATCCAGAGCAGCCCCTCTGTTTAAATCCACCCCTTGGATGAATCCTTTAAATGTACCTGTTGTAAAACTGAGCGTTTTTGGAAATCTACCCGACTACTAGTTCACTATCAGCATTTAAAATAATTTCTAACGGAGTTTAATAACATGGTTAAAGATGCCAGAATGTCTCTAGTAGCAGACATAATCCCAACATTTAGTTTGACACCATACATAACATTGTCTCTCCTCCATCACCTGTGGTCCAAATCTCTTCAGTTGATGAGTGCAACAGTTTACTCTCCTTTTTTTGTGGAGAAGATAAACAATATACCAGATAATATTATTCATTCTCCTTCTCTTCAGAGATCTTGTACTTCCAGTTTAGTAACTTTGGAGAAATTTTCTCCGATAACACTAGAAGATCTCACTAAACTTAGCTCTATGAAAATCTCTACTAGTCCCCTGGATGTCGTACATACTACTTTGTTTAAAAAGGTTATTGACACCATTGGTCCCTGTGTGCTTGCCATAATTAATAATTCATTAACATCTGGTCATGTTCCAATTTATTTTAAACAAGCTGTTGTTCAACCTATTCTCAAGAAAACAAATCTTGATCCGTCCTTGTCCCAAAATTATAGACCTATTTCTAAACTATACCTTTTGTGGCTAAGGTCCTGGGAAAAGTATTAGTTAATCAACGTACAGCTGTTTTAGATGGGTATAATGTGTTTGATAAATTCCAGTCTGGCTTTCGGCGTTTACACTCTACTGAAACTGCTCTTAGAGTTTTTAATGATTTATTATAGCAAGGTGATGCAGAGGAATGCTCTGTTCTGGTTCTATTCGATCTTACTGCTGCTTTTGATACCGTTGATCACTGTAGTTGACAGGCTCAGACAGTATGTTGGTATCTCTGGAACAGCCTTGAAACTTGTCAGATAGATCTTTTTCAGTTAGAGTTCACAATTATGCCTCATCAACAGCATCTCTCTCCTGTGGTGTTCCCCAGGGTTCTGTTTTGGCCCCATTGCTTTTTGCTTTGTATTTGTTGCTTCTGGGGCAATTGATAAGTACTTTTCAAGGTATATGCTATAATTTGTAAGCAGATGATATTCAACTTTATTTTTCTTTTAAGCCCCATGAAACTACGACATTCTCTGTTCTTTTAAATGGTATAAACTCTGTAAAAGTCTGGATGGAAAACAATTACCTGCAGTTAAATTCAGAAAACATTACTTATCTTGGCTCCTGCTGGTGTTCTCCCAAGGTGATGGAATGTCTTGGCCCCTTATCGCATTCTGTTAAACCTTCCCTTCGTAATTTAGACCTTCATATGGGACAATAAACACGTTAAATATCTGGTTCAAATTGTTTTTATCAGTTGAGAAACCTTACAAAATTGAGGCCTTTTGTGTCAATAGTGGAGATGGAGATGATTATACATGCTTTTATTTCCTCCCGCCTTGATTATTGTAATTCTATTTTTACGTGTTTTAGCACTTCATCTCTGAAATGATTACAAGCGGTCCAAAATGCTGCTGCTAAGCTTTTAACCAAGTCATCAAAGAGATCTCATGAAACACCAATTTTAATCACTTTACACTGACTCCCAGTCAAATTTAGAATTAAAAAAGTACTTGTTTAAACGTTTCCGCCATGTTCATAAACGTTAAAAAACCAAACCCAAATATTCGAATGGTGGTGTATTTGTACAAAGTAAATAATTGTATTTTGCAGACAGGATTTAAACATCCTGAGCATTTTGTTCTCTAAAACTGGCATTTAAATGAGTGATCAAATCCTATCTTGCATAAATCAGCAGAAATGCATTAACACATGAGAAGTAGCCCTGCCGGACTGTCTCATGCTCTGCAAAGAGTGTCCCATTCATTCAGTCTCTGATTGCAGCACATCAAAAATTCATTACTGGGATTCTAATTTAGCTTGTTCCCCAAAGGAAGATTCCTGTATTCTTTAGCCACTCCTGAGAAACAAGAGCGCGACACATGGATCACACCATAAGGGCTCATTAAGATGCAGAGGAGTCTCTGGTCTGCTCCAACAAATGCCATCCTGGTTGGGGTCAGTTTTTCCAAGCTGTCTCTGTATACATATGAAGTTGGGCCGGGATAATGGGGATGTATTGTTCATGTTGGATCCAAAAGGGTGATCTGTTGATGGATAATATGTCATGATCTAAAAACAAACATGACATATAACAAACAAAAGAATGGCCAGGCAATAAAAGTAAAAGATTGTTTGATAAGCAAATGATGGGTTCATTTTTCCACCCTTGCTTATTTTATAAAAAGGACTTACTAAAATTTAGTATAAAACTAAATCGCTGGGTTAGGGTTAGAAAAGTGTCTCTTACGATGACAACAAACAGTAATACTGTAAAATATTATTGCAATTTATAATAATGGTCTTCTGTGTGAATATATTGTGAAATGTAATTTATTTCTGTGATGTGCAGCTGAATTTTCAGCGTCATTACTCCAGTCTTCAGTGTCACACGATCCTTCAGAAATCATGATAATATGCTGATTTGCTGCTCAAGAAACATTTCTGATTATCATTAATGATGAAATGTGAAATTTTATCATTATTGTGCTGCTTAATATATTCTGGAAACTGATACTTTTTTCAGGATTATTTGATGAATAGAAATGTCAAAAGAACAGCATTTATTAGAAAGAGTTTATAAAGATATTTACTGTCACTTTTGATACATTTAATGTGTCCTTTCTGAATAAACGTATTAATTTCTTTAAAAAAAACCAAAAAAAAAAAACCATACTGACCCCAAACTTTTTCAAGCGCAAATAAATTCAGTTACTCCCAAAAATCTGCAGCATTTATATGGCTTTAAGTATTGGAGTACTACCCAGTCTGTATATACACATACATACACACACACACACATATATATATATAAACAGCGACACAATTAAACCTCAACATACTTTTATTTTCTACCACAAACGATGACCTGTTAGCCTCCTGTTTGCCATTTTACTGTGGAGTGACTTTGAGGAAGCGTTTCATTATCTTGGTAATTTCTGGGCAGCAGCTCATTACATATCTTCCTTAAGAAAACAGAAATGTGGAAATGAGAGCTCGTTTCCTTCTTATCACCATGCTGGCATGGATCCAGATACTTAGAAGGCCTGTTTGATATTTGTGTTTAATTCGGCGGTTTGTATCATGATAAAGCTAGTGCCAGCCTGGGAAGTGGGACGAATCAATCAGGCCTAGAGAGGGTATTATGACCCAAAAGGTCATTTCAAGGTCAAATCTTGCAAATGTTTAAGGCATGATTTTCCCTAAATTGCAATTGTCATTATTTACTCACTCCTATTTCAAACTGAATAATGTTTTATTGCAGTCACAGTTTATAGTGACCATTTTTGTCAAGATCCAAAAACATACCATAAAATCTCCGTAAAAGCATCAAAACTATAGTCATCTTGAGCTCAACTATTGAGTTTTAAAGAGACGGTTTGCCAAAAAATGAAAATGTAAGGCAATAGTCAATGCAATGGAAATCAATGGTCACCAAAACCTTTTGGTTACCAACGCTCTTCAAAAAATATCTTCTTGCATGTTCTGCAGATTAAACAGTCAATACAGGTTTGAAATGACAAATGATGACAGTAATGATGACAGATGAGTAAAAGAGTAAATGATGACAGAATTTTCTTTCTTGGCTGAACTATCCCTTTTATGATGTTGCTACTTGGAAAAAATCTACATACAGATTCTTCAAAATTCTCCTTATAGATTTAGACAGACATGATGGTGAGTAAACAATGACATTATTTTCGTGTTTGGGTGAAGTGTTCCTTTAAGAAACTACAGATGGAGTCTCCAACAAGTGCAGTTGTTGCTGAGAGTTTCCACATTTTATTTACCACCACAGAGACATGTGACTACATCTGTGAATCTCATCGCGGGAGGTGGAAGATTGTCATGATGGTTAAAGAGAGAGAGAGCTCAGTATCTTCCCTGCACTCCGAGCTCTTTTTCGGCTGCCTGCTCAATGGCTCTGTGGATGATACACACTTCTTCCTGCGTCAGGGTCCTCTCCATGTGACGGTACTCGACGCGGTAACAGTGGCTCACTCTCTTCATCCTAGGAGAGTATGAAAAGAGAAAAAGATTATTTGACAACAGTTCTATTGACCACGAATTTGATCACCAAAAAGTTCCTTAAAAGTAGCCGCTATATTCAATTATTGAATTGAATTCAATTATATACAATTTATTAAAAAAAAAAAAAAAAGATTTGACTCAAATCAACAATAGCTTTCAATTATTTCAGCTCTCGAGTTCAACTCACTGGCTCATTATTCTGGTCACAGCAATTATGGAGTTAATTGCTCACAGGAGGGGGAAATTATCAATAATAATAATAATAATAATAACAAATTTAAATCTGTTTTTCATGTAAGTTGTAACCCAGGCTCATTGGAAAAATCTGGCAACATTTTATTACACTGGATGGTGTATGTATCTCGGCGATTTGGAAATTAAATGTCTGGTGAGTGGAGCTAAAGGGTTAATGCTCTATCACGTTTGAAAATAACGCACCAACTACACTAAATGTAACAGACAGTGTTCGCGAACGCAAACGTGAGATAAAAACACATTTGCTGAAGCAAGCATGCCATTTTAGCTTGCTTTTACAAGTCGTTGAAGTCTTTTATTGTGAGTCATGTCTCACTGAACTCGTACCCGAGCGCTTCACATCGTAAGCTGTACCGGGTGCGCTACCGAGCAAGTTTACAATACCAGAAAAGCCGTAGATATGAAGCTGGTTAAGTGATGTAAAAACATCAAAATGTATTAGTTTGCAAATCATGCACTATGGTAAAAGTTTTGGAGGTCATAACATAGTATTGTGCAAGGAACCATGTGAAAATAAGTCTTTATTAACCGATAATCTGTCCCTGGAATCATAATTTGTGTGAAAGGGAATACACGTTTTTGTTGTTTAACTGCCTCTAGTGCACATTTCAGCTGGAAACTGCAGTAAATTGCAGAGGCATGTTTTTCCAACGAGTCTATGTTTGTAAGTTGTCTCCACAGATTACTTTTATGGTGTTTTTTTGTCATTTTTGGAGATTAGCAGCTGCCGTTGGATGGAAAAGTGCTGTGTGAAGATTCTTCAGAATATCTTCTTCTGCATTCCACAGAAGAAAGAAAGTCATACAGGTTTGGAACGACTTGATGGTGAGTAAATGATGGCAAAATTTAGATTTTGGGCTGAACTATGCCATTAATGTTAGTTTAGTTGTTGCAGTGCAGATATTTCTGCACAAATAAGTTATACAACAGTGCATGTAAGGTCAAGCTAATACACAGATCAAACTCGTTCAGGGAGCTGCCAGTCAACAAACGCTCTTGTTCTCTCACACACATGCCGTGTGCCTCGTCTCAGGGGAGCAGCTGGATTAACCAAGAAACTACAAAGTTTTCACTTACACAGTGCTCTCCAGGGAGAAGACCAACGTCAAGCATGATTCTCTCTTTATTGTGCATGCTGTATGTAAGCAAGACTGCAGAAGACTGTGAAAAAAAGCCAAGGGTTTGGACTCTCTACAGAGCAATGAAGTGAAACAAAATGGTTGACAGGCAACTGCAGTAAAGCAGCTGCTGGGATTCCAGTGCAGACCAATGAGGAGTTGTGAGGCTACATCGGATTCACTTTACCGATATTGGATTTGCAGTCAGCAGGCCCGGTGCCCACTGGGATATAAACTGACATAATAATGCATCAGAGAAGCATCCTAAAGAGCTCCAAAATGCTTAGCGTTTTCAACTGAACTAAGAGCTCTGGCTAGTATTTATTTATTGTTGCTATCCTACACTTCCTACAGTCAGAATTCTCACGATTCGAGATTGACAGGATGGTGGAAATCAAAAAAATGCTCAGCATATATTTTACACTGTGTCTATGCATATGCGATCATCTGCCATTAATACTTTAAATCACACAGAAACATTATTCATTCTAAAGTTATATATACACGTTTGCATTGACTCTAAACTGTACATTATTAATGTAACCATCTTATTTTGAGATGTT